CTAAAGATTTGTTGTACTGAATAAAGGGAAATCCACATTGTTTTTAAAAGGTGGCACGGTATTCTACGGTATGAATGAATCACAGTTTAACCACATCTCCACTGATGGGAAGATGTTTTCATAATTATTTCACTTGGTGAGCTCTCTTGCTTATGTAGTCTTGTGCACATGTGAGAGCATTTTGGTCATAAAATACTAGAAATGGATTCGGTGAGTCTAAGGGTGCATGCACGAACATTTTTATTAGAAAGTATTACAATTTATTTATTCTTTTTGGGTTTTTTTGGGGGGGGTCAGATCATCGTTTTATTGCAATATCTTCTCAAGCGTGTTGCTAGCCGGGCACTGCTGATGTCACCCGTCACGAGGTGCCAGGCATCCACTGGGTGGGCCCAGGATGTGTTTGATGGTTCCAGCAAGTTCTCTGGCTGAAGACCGGTGCGGCATCTGCCGGGCAACGCTGCTGATCTCCTCAGAAGTTATACTTCTGCTGTGTCTATCGTTCTGCTTCTTCCTGTCCCTTGGTGGCTCCTTGAGGGTGCTGATGCGCAGGGCAGAGGCAGAAGGCACCACCTCTGTCGGGCCTGACTGCTCTGTAAGGCCAGCGTCACCAAGTTCTCAGCCCCTTCCCGTCTCCAGCTGCCCCGGCCAGGTCATCACCCACTGTTTTGGAGACAGACCCGGGGCACCCATCTTGGGGGCCAGGCCAGGCATGGCACCGACTTCCCCACCAGTGCACCACATGACTGATCTCCCCGGTGGCAAAGCTGGGCGGCAGAGTAGAGGGGTTGGTGTCGGATGAAGCCCGATTTGGGATGACCGAAGAAAGTTGCACCTTAGCCTTTTCGTGGTTTTCTGAGACAGGGTCTCACTATGTAGTTCAGGCTGGCCTTGAACTCACTATGTAACCCAGGTTGGCCTCAAACTCTCAGTGATTCTCCTGCCTCAGCCTCCTGAGGGCTGGGATTAGAGGTGTGCATCACCACACTTAGCCTATTCATTTATTTTTGACACAGGGTCCTGGTATGTAGCCCAGGATGGCCTGGAATTAGCTGTCCTCCTGCCTCAGCCTCCTGAGTGACAGGATTACAGGCATGCACCACCACCTCTGGCTTTCTACTTGTAGATTTTAAACTATCTTCATGAACTTCCTTTGGAGTTAGAAGAAAACATACGAAGCTTAAATAATTTATTTAAGTGTTTACACAAATCAAACACTATTCAGTCTGCCTAATAGATATGTATGCTTCACGAGGAGGAACATCATTAGTGTTTCCTAGCTTCTAGAATAGTATCTGACATATAAAAGGTGTTCAGTACATATTTGTTGAATGAATAACATTCTCAGGAGGCAAGAATCTTGTATTTTGCATCCCTGTAGTAAATGCCAAGTTGCTGATTAAGAAAAAGATTTTTCATTCAGGAACAGATATGAGACTTCAGGCTACATGCAGCCTGGTGTGGTGGCACATGCCTATAATCTCAGCACTTGGGAGGCTGAGGTAGGAGGGTTGCTGGGAGTTCGAGGGCGGCCTAGACTACATAGTAAGACCCTGTCTCAAGAAAAATTAAATATAATATATACAAATATAAGCACTATTAAAACAAGTGAGAATAAGTGGGTAATATCTGATTTAGAAAGCAGTGCACTGATTTTCCTATGTCTTAGGATCATCACTATAAAGATCAAATTTCAAAATTAAATTTATTGAACTCAAGCTAAATTCTGAAAGTTGCTTTTTTGAAAAAAATAAAATTAAACACCTGAACAATCCACAAAAAAACAACAACATGGCATCAAGTTGGTTTTGTTCATTTGTTTTTTTATATAGCGTCTCACTATATAGTTCAGGCTGGTCTTGAACTCACTATGTAGTCCAAGCTGGCCTAGAACTTGAGGTGATCCTCCTGCCTCAGCCTTTGGAGTGCTGGGATTACAGGCATATGCCACCATGCCCAGCTTCAAACTGTTAAAGGAGAAAATTTCCATAAACATAAAAGCATATTTTCAATGGTACTTATGTAAGTAAGAAAGCAAAGGAAACTTTATTTTTATTTTATAGGAAATATTTCTTTATAAGATTATATTCTAAACTAGGCCAATGGTAGTATGACATGAGCTACTTGCCCTCAGATTTATGTTAAATGTGTAGTTTTTTAAATTTAAAGCCAAATACCTGAAAAAATGCAGTGAAAAAGAGACAAAAATAGAATTTGCATAAAGGAAACATCCAAGTAAATTAGGTTCCTATGCTGGATAATATAAAACAGCTTTTGGAATGAAGGCAGAAGGGAGGAGAGAGAAATGTACAATAATTTTGGAAAGCCATTCTGGAAAAAACGTGCATTTTATAAAACACATTTTAATTCTAGTCTTTTAGTATTTATGTCAGGCTACCTCTTACTGCATGTTTGGTTTCCTGTACTGAGCCTTAGAAAAATCATCTTGTGGTTAGAAAATAGCATATTCTCAAAAGTAATGACTGAAAATTATATTCTTTGGCTTGCTATTTTTTACAACAAATTTTACTTTAAAATGAGGGTGAGTTAATCATATTTGAGATTAACTCTCCCTAGTGAAACTGTAGTATTCACCACCATGCTTGATAAAGAAAATGGATCAGATCTTGAAAAAGATTTTATATATGTCATTGACAAAAAAAAATAGGGCTCAAAATAAAGAAGTTTGTTTTTGGCTGGGGGTACAGATCTCAGAGGTAGAATGCCTGCTTAGTATGGGAGGGGCCCTAGGTTCTATCCTCAGCACAGTAAAAAACCAAGTTAATAGCTAACTATTAAAAAAAAAATGAGAATACTGGGGGGCCTGAGGGGGAACCTTTCATAAAACAGAGTTGTTAGAAGAAGGCAGGTGCTCAGATTAGACATGAAAATAGTCTTAGTCAGGCGTGCAGGCATCCCTGTAATCTGAGCACTTGGGAAGCTGAGGCAGGAGGAATTTGAGTTAAAGGCCAGCCTGGGCAATCTAGGGAGACATCTCAAAAAACAAAACAAAATAAAACAACAGAAAAAGGAAAACAACCTGAAAAGCACCAACAACACAAGCACTCTAAAGAAAAACTACTGCCAGAGTGCTCCTAAGGTTAATTTATTAAAATAAAAAAAGTAAACAGATGTTAACTTATTGAGGCTTACAACATGAGAGTGTAGCATAGTTGTGATACCAGACCCTCAAAAAAACAGGAAGTGCTTGAAAGAAAGGTTTTGTTTTTATTAAAAAAAATTTTTTTTGAGACAGGGTCTCACTATGTAGTTCAGGCTGGCCTTGAACTCACTATGTAGCCCAGGCTGACCTCAAAC